GAAGGGGCGGGAAGAAGAGGGGGCCCTCATCTCCTCTTTTTTCTGCTGCATCTATCATCGTCGTTATCCCCTTCACCTCCTCCGCCTCACCCCCCCGAATAATGGAATAGGAAGACTCGACGTGCGGTTGCAGCCGGTACAATGCAGGGTGGATGCGCAAGACAATTAACCGGGCGATGGACCCAGCCGTATAGAGTTGCCCCCCGCAGCGGCGAATGCCATCTTTGCCCGCATTCCCTACGCGCCCACGAACCGCGCGGGGGGCGCGCCGAAATGCGCGGCGGGGTACACAACGCGAGCGAAGACGATAGGTCGGCGCACGAGAGACTGAAAGCGGGCGAGTCTGAGCGCGAGCAGGTCTGATTGTGAATGAATCTGCGCGCGCGTGTCTACGCGCATGAATGTCGATGCCCGTGTCGGCGCGCCCATCGCGAGGGTTGCGCCAGCTTCATTCGCCCTCTTCTTCCCGCGCGCGCCAATGTCCAAGGACGCGGGCGCGGCGCCACGCGTAGCCCCCGCGACGCGCGCCTGTCCCCCGAAGGGGCCCCGGCAACGCGCGCGGGTCCGCTGCGCGGAGCAAAGAAAGCTAGCTGGCCGACCGACAGCGGGCAAGGCTCTCGCCGCCGGGCAGACCGACGACGGGGGCGAGCGAGGCGCCGAGCGCGGAGTCCCCGCGACGCGCGCCAGTCGCCCCGGGAGGGTCCCAGCGACGCGCGCGGGTCGTCCGCGGCGCAAGGCCATGCAGTCAGGCCGTCGAGAAACGGCAAGGTTCGGGCGGGCCTCTCCTCAGGTCAAGCCTCGCGGATAAACTCAATGAAATCCAACTCCCTGGCGGGGGCCGTCGTCTCCTTCCGGCGCCGCTTCGTGCGCGCCGCTAGCTGTCGGCTGCTTCTGAAAGCCTTCTGGCGGCCCTGCCAGGAAGAACTCGAGGGGCGGCGCCCGCATGCGCAGGAGGCCCTCGTGGCGCGCGGCGCGCGAGAACAGCGCGCAGGAGCTTCAGCCGCCAAACGTCGCCCTCCTTCTTGCCGTTCCCGACCTCATGGCGGCCGCAGTACAAGATCACGCCTGGGCGATGTCGGCCGAGGGGGCAGCGCTCTGGACAGCCGACGGACCAGGGAGAGAGCCCAGAGGACCAATAGAACTGGCCGCCATGCGAACCTTGCCGCTGGCGCCTTCGGTGGAATTCCCTATGGGGCCACGATCCGTGTGAGGGGCGTGCCGAAATGGCCCGACGCCACCATGCGAACCCCGCCACTGGGGCCTTCGGTGGAGCTCCCTATGGGGCCACGATCCTCTTGAAGGGTGTGCCGAAATGGCCCGAGGCCGCCATGCGAACCCTGCCACTGGGGCCTGCGGTGGAGTTCCCTATGGGGCCACGATCCTCGTGAGGGGTGCGACGAAATCGCCCGAGGCCGCCATGCGAACCCTACCACTGGCGCCTTCGGTGGAATTCCCTATGGGGCCACGATCCGTGTGAGGGGCGTGCCGAAATGGCCCGAGGCCGCCATGCGAACCCTGCCAGTGGGGCCTTTGGTGGAGCTCCTATGGGGCCACGATCCTCTTGAAGGGTGTGCCGAAATGGCCCGAGGCCGCCATGCGAACCCTGCCACTGGGGCCTTCGGTGGAGTTCCCTATGGGCCCACGATCCTCGTGTGGGGTGTAACGAAATGGCCCGAGGCCACCATGCGAACCCTGCCACTGGGGCCTTCGGTGGAGTTCCCCATGGGGCCACGATCCTCGTGAGGGGTGCGCCGAAATCGCCCGAGGCCGCCATGCGAACCCTGCCACTCGGGCCTTCCGCAGAGCTCCCATGGGGTCACGATCCGTGTGAGGGGTGTGCCGAATGGCCCGAGGCCGCCATGCGAAACATTGCCACTGGGGCCTTCGGTGTAGCTCCTATGGGCCCACGATCAAACTGAGGGGCGTGCCGAAATGGCCCGAGGCCGCCATGCGAACCCTGCCACTGTGGCCTTCAATGGAGTTCCCTATGGGGCCACGAAACGCTATACTGGGTGGGTGAAACGCAGGGAGGAGGGAGAAGGCGGAGGGGAAGGGAGGAAGGAGGATCGCGGGGACCGTCTCTTCAAAACGAGGACCCAACACCACAGGATAGTTGGGAAAAAAATCAGGAAGTGCGACGATGAAGCTTCCCGCTGTTTTCTTTGTGTGGGGGTGGGGTCGGGCGAGATATCCAGGGAATGGCAGTGGGTGTAATCACCGCGAAGACAAGGATGAACTGATCACATGGGGGCAATGCTCTTCATGCTGTTGGGGAGCGACGGTTTGATGGCTTGCCCGCCTGCGCACGCATCCCATCGGGACATGCGTGACACAACTGCGTTCCAAGAGCATTCTGGAATCGCGGAGCCCTGGGAATCCCCAGGCCCTGTACCTCCTTCCCTTAGCTTACCCGCATGAGCAGGCGGGGTGAGTCCAGACGTTTGGTCTGCAGCGAGTTGGGTCCAACAAGCGGTCGGGTCAAATGCGGGACGCATCGGTGGCGAATTGGAACCGAAACAAAGGGGGATGAGCTCAGACATCCAACCTCGCGATGTTCTACAACATGGCTCCCCAAGAATGTAAACCCCGTTGTTGCGGGGACTGGTTTCATTCAAGGTCGACTGTTGGCAGTCCTGGGGACTAGTAGGGAGCCCCAGAGGTCAACAAATGCCAAATTGTCCGTCGATACTTGATCACAACTTCTGCGGCAACCCAAGGGAGCCTCCCATGTCATCTTGCTGGCTCTTGCGAATCAGCGCTAACCGACGCTAGTTGACACTCATCGAGGCTCATCGACGCTAAACCAACACTAGTCGACGCCAAACCGGCATCATCGACCACCAGACGCTAGCGCACGCTGCACCCTGAAAACTGAATTCCGAGCACGTGTAAAGATTATATGAGCTGCTGACGAACACGACGCGAGCAGGTCTGTAAACGGACACGAAGAGCAAGTCGGAATGTAATGCGAGGTATGGCGACCCCAATCCCGTACTTTGCGGGACACTGTGGGATTCCAGAATGGACAACAGCTTGGGGCCGAACTCGGGGATATACGATGGGGGGGCCGTCCATCTGCGATAAAGGGGTGCGTCCGAAGGGCACCTGGGGGTGTATCCCCCCATTTCTGAGTCATGGCTTAATCCCACCAGCCCTCTGGGCGTCGGTGGTTTAAGGCGTTTCCTCTTCCACCCCTCCCCCTTCCCCTTCGGGGAAGGGTTTATCACTGTTCCCTATTAAGAAACACCCCCTCCCCCAGGCGACTGGGGGCCAACCAGGGTCCATGCCACCCCCTCCCCCCACCATCCCTTGAAAAAAAACAAAACACACTCTGCCTCCAAATTCGGAACATGCGCAGCCAACGCGATGCGGCCCCACCCACCATCCCTGTCAAAAAACCATACAGAGTACACTTGGCGGCTGCGGCGGCTGCGGCGGCTGCGGCGGTGGCGGCGGCTGCGGCGGCTGCGGCGGCGGCGGCGGCGGCGGCGGGGGCGGCGGCGGCGGCGGCGGCGGCGGCGGTGGCGGTGGCGGCAGCGGCTGCGGCGGCGGTTTGGCAGCGGGGGGCGCGGCGGCGGCGGCGGCGGCGGCGGCGGCGGCGGCGGCGCGGCGGCGGCTGCGGCGGCTGAGGCGGCGGCGGCGGCGGCGGCGGCGGCAGCGACAGGCGGCGGCGGCGGCGGCGGCGCGGCGGCGGCGGCGGCGGCGGGCGGGCGGGGGCGGGGGCGGGGGCGGGGGCGGCGGCGGATTGGCCCCCAGTAGCTGCCCATCCCAAGACGGCTGCTGAATATGCTGAGGCTCGGACCCGACTCGGGTGCTACGTATGTGTTGGGAGGGCGGGTGGGAGTGAGTGAGACGGCTTGCGGGCGGAGAGGGGGTAACTTGACCCCTCCCCCTACCCCCTCCCCGTGGACCTGGACGGGGGGGGCCGCGAGCGGTCAGAGCGTCCAAAACGGCCTCGGCGACGAAGCCAAAACCATTGATGTTACATAGGTTTTGGCCCCAATTTGGCCTCCTGAGGGGGCAACCCTAATTGAAGCTCCCCTCTTCTTTGATCGATGTCCTCCAAGATGGCCCCAAGAAGCGCCCAGGAGGCCCCAAGAGACCCCAAGATGGCCCCAAGAGGCCCCAAGAGGCCCCCAGGAGGTCCCCAAGAGGATCTCAAGCGACCCAAAGAGGCCCCCCCGAGGCACCCAAGACGCCGACAAGCCCCTCGGGACGACCCTCTACTCGCCTGGGCGTCGTTTCTGGATGGGCTGGTGGGGATACTGGAACAGGATTCGGGGATTGGGAGGGAGAAATCGTCTGCGAGGAAACGAGGAGGAATTCGAAATGGGGGAGCAGATGAAGGAAGAATGAATAGCCACGGAGACGACGAGAGGCCGCACTTTCGAGACGATGCGCGAGACCGGCTCCCCCGTGCGCGAGGGGCCGAATTCCAGTGAAGGCCTGACCACCTCACAGCCCAGCCCTTGCAGCGAGGACGGACAGCACCTTGTGCGCCAACGCCTGCCATGGTGACGGGGGGATATGTCGATCCCAATTCTCGCCTTTGGCGTCCATCCTCGATGGTGGTGCATTCGAATGGCCCCCTGGGGATGCATCCCTGAATTACCCGCCTTTTCTGCTGCTTTACTTATCGTGTGGAACTCAAGGATTTTGGCAGAGAAATCGCCTGCGACGTGGGATCCTGACCTCCTCGCGTCGTGAATAAAATTCCAAAACACATGTTGGTAAATTGCGGCCTGTGGGGGCCTTCAGAACCGTCAAAGAACTACTGAAGAAAAAAAACGCTGGTCCCTTGGAAGAGGTCAAGACCTCTGGGAAACCACGCTGTGGGACACCAATCGAGAACACCAATCGGGGTCATCGCGCCAGCCAATGGAAAAGCAGCATCCGCCACCGCGCCCGCTTGCACGTTCAGGCATGGTCAATGCCAAAGCCAAAGACTGTCTGGTAGAGTTTATGTGAACCTTCGAAGGCCTCACCCCCTCGACACTTTTCTTCGCGTGCTCTTCTGAAGCTTCCTAGACCCGATGCCTACACGGCACTTCAAGGCGTCCAAAGCGACCCAGCAGGAAGGCCATGAGGGTCGCCAAGATGGCCCGACGTTGCCTCACGACGCACCCAGGGGTGCCTGGAGCGCGATTCTTTATGTTCGGCGATGACGGGCGTGATGAGGGGGGGGGGGGAGCGAGGACGGGGTATGACGTAACGCCCCCCGCCCGCCGTGTTGCTCCGGCGCCGCAGCCGCGCCCGTGCGCGCGACGACGAGCGACGAGCGACGAGCGACGAGCGACGAGCGACGACGACGACGCGAGCAGCATGTAGGTGGCGATATGCCCCACGGCGCCTGTGTACACCACAGCGCTCGCGTGCACCACGGCGCGCGTGTATACCACAGCGCCTGCTTACAGTGCGACAACCGTGTGCAGAGCAGCGCCTGTGTACACCACAATGCTTGCGTACACTACAGCGTTGGTGTACATGTGTACACCGCCGCTACCATGTGCAACACAGCGCGTGTGTACACCACAATGCTTGCGTGCACCGCAGCGCCTGTGCACGCCACAGCGCGTGTCTACACCACAACATCCGCGTGCAACGCAGCGCTGGTGTGCACCAGCGCGCCTGCGTGCACAGGACAAGTGAAGGAACATGTACGTGACGATTTGCTGCGCACAACCAGACACCACGCCAGAAAAGTGTTGATAATCGAATGCGACGTTCTTCCCTCCTCCCTCCTCCTCCACCTCCACAACCTCCTCCTCCTCCTCCTCGTCGTCCTCCTCCTCCTCCTCCTTACTCCCTCTCGTGCGGGTTGGCGCTACAGCGCACGTGCGCATCTCAGCGCGCACCGCAGACTGGTCAGTTGAATCGGTAAACTTGGACGGCCAATCTAGCTGGAGCCTCGTGGACGCAGATGGAAGGAATTAGGGTGATGCGGGCGGACTCGGGAGGACTCGTAGATTACAACGTCGCTCCGTGGTCCATAAAGATTATTTCCATTGTTTTTGTGGAATCCACAAACGCTCCATTTTGTCATACGCATTCGTTTAAACATTCTATGTGCAACAATGGTGCTGTGTTGCACACGGTTGCTGTTGTGCACACAAACGCCGTGGTGCACACAGGCACTGCAATGCACGTGGGCATTGTGGTGTACATTGGTGCTGTGTTGCACACGGCTGATGTGGTGTACGCAGGCGCTGTGGTGTACACTAGAGATGTTGTACCCGCAGGCGCCATGGCACAAACTGACGCTGTGTTGCACGCGGCTGCTGTGTACATGGGCGGCGCGGTGTACACAGGCACTGTGGTGCACGCAGGCACCGTGGTGTACACAAGCGTTGCGGTGCAAATCGTTATCTACATGCTGGCGCTACCCGTCCTCCATCATTCCTAAGCATTCCCAGGCGCCGCCGGCGCGAAACGTGACGTCATCGACCCCCTCCCCCCCCCAGATCCCCAGATGATTGCCGTCATCGGCCCCGAATCCGCCGACCCCAGTGGCGTGTGAGGGAGAGTGCGTGCTAGAGCCATTCATCGTGAGCTTCTCCTTTCAAGCAGCCACCGACCGATACCCCCCTCCTGGCTCCCTCCCTTGGAACCTTTGTTCTTGGGCCCCCCCTTCTCCCACCCCACCACTTCTCGCCCAAAACCGACCGATACCCCCAACCACGCCCCCCACCACGCCCCCGCCACGCCCCCACCACGCCCCGCCATCCCCACCCCATGGCGCCTCCCTCCACGCCTCGGCGTCCCACGGCATCCCCACCCCATGGAGCCTCTGTTCTTGGGACCCCCACCCTACGATTTCTCGCCCAACCCCGGCATCCCCACCCCATGGAGCCTCTGTTCTTGGGACCCCCCACCCTACGATTTCTCGCCCAAAACCTACCGACGCCCCCCTCCTGGCCCCGGCATCCCCACGCCATGGAGCCTCTGTTCTTGGGAAGCCGGGGCTCTACGATTTCTTGCCCAATACCTACCGACGCCCCCCTCCTGGCCCCGGCATCCCCGCCCCATGGAGCCCCTGTTCTTGGGACCCCCCCACCTGGCCACGGCATCCCCAGGCCTCTGGGCTCTGTTCTTGGGACCCCCGACCCCACGATTTCTCGCCCCAAATCCACCGATACCCGCCTCCATGCCCCCCACCTGGCCACGGCATCCCCAAGCCTGTGGGCTCTGTTCTCGGGACCCCCGACCCCTCGATTTCTCGCCCAACATCGACCGATACCACCCTCCATGCCCTCCACCTGGCCACGGCATCCCCAGGCATCTGGGCTCTGTTCTTGGCCCCCACCTGGCCAAGGCATCCCCAGGCCTCTGGGCTCTCTTCTTGGGACCCCTGACCCCACGATTTCTCGCTCCAAATCGACCGATACCTCCCTCCATGCCCCCCACCTGGCCACGGCATCCCCAGGCTTCTGGGACATTGTTTTTGAAACCCCCGACCCAACGATTTCTCGCCCAAAATCGACCGATACCCCCCTCCATGCCCCCCACCTGGCCACGGCATCCCCAGGCTTCTGGAACTCTGTTTTTGGCAGCCCCGACCCCGCGATTTTGCCACCACGCCTCGACCCGCACCTCCCACCACGCCCCGGCACCCACCCACCCCATGGAGCCTTTGTTTTTCTGCCCTCCACCCTACCATTTCGCGCTCAAAACTTACCGGGGCCCCCCGCCATGCCTCGACCCACACCCCCCAAACGGCCCCGGCACCTGGCCACGGCATCCCCAGGCCCCTGGGCATCTGTTCTTGGGACCCCCCGACCCCACGATTTTCCTTGCCCAAAATCAGCCCGATACCCGCCTCCAGCCACCTCG